TTAAAAGTTCAATAATGGTGTTAATGCTTAGTTGTGTGCGTTCTTTAAGATTGGTGTCTTTTTGTAATTTTTGTTTGATGATATTTAAAGTTTTATCAACAGGAACGTTAATGACTAACAACATCAAAACTTACTAGAATATGGTTTGGATTTATGTCTATGTCTGATAATTTTTGTAAAAAATGTTCAGAATTTTTAATAAAGGAAGTTGTGTTATTTATTAGGGGATTTAAAATGTTTAAAATATATTTGGCTAAGGCTTAGGTGAACCTAGTAGGTGAATTTATAGTACTACCTATTGGTCGTAAAGGAATATTAACTTTATGAATTTTTGTAACTCCGTAAAAATGTAGTGTTTTACTATTTTGTGGTGTTAATTTTGATCTAACGTAATCTGTGAATTCATGTTTACATTTTTTTAGTGTTATAAATTTGTCTTTCAAAACGTTCTGTTGGATTTTTGTTTAATTTTGAATAACTTTTGTCATTTAAAAGTTGGATGCAAAAGTTCGTAAAATTCAATGGAATAATTCCACAATTTTAACAAAAGAACAATGTACAAAAAAACGTAAAATTAAAGAAAGCGCGCTAATTTTACTAAATCAAAATAATTGTGTTGCTTCATGTTCATTTAATTTAAGTCATACATGGTTACCTATGCTAAAATCTGAAGTAGACCAGAGAAACATACACCCAAATTAAATTTACACCAAACATATTAATTAACATTACCTTTATTAATTTAAACAATGAGATTAAGTCAAAGTCACATAACTGACAATTTGCACAGACGAATTATCAGAGCGAATTTTCATATACTGTATTATTCTACTATTGTTACACAATTTATTAACATACTCTTTTTAGGTTCATTTAGGTTCTTTTGATAACGATAGCAGAAAATAGCTATCGAAACGTCAAGATAATTTTTCAAATTAATTTCTTTTCTAATTGGAATTTTCTCTTACAGCTTGAGCCTAAGTGTGTCGCAGGATACCCTCTAGGTGATAGTTCTTTATTACTTTTTGATAAATAATTCATTCTTATTGCGAAATAAGAGCACACGAAATTTATCAATCTGTAATAGAAGACGTGAGGAAATTCTGCCTTTTTTAAAGACAAAAATTTTTGAGGTGAAATACCCAACAAGAAGTTTGTAAAAAAAATGGTTTATGGATCGACTTGGATATTCACAATCCGCAAATAGCACGCAGAAATAAAAAAAAAATTAACTAAAAATTTTAATAAAACGCAGGTGCTTCCATTGAAAAAACTAAGCGGATGGTCCTAATATATTTTGGGATCCCCTGAATAAGTAAAGCAGGTTTTAAAAAATTGCAATTCATACATACAAATAAACATGTTTAAGCCGTTTTAGAAATTACTTCTTTAACTCACCGTATATCAGGCTCCGATATACAGAATCAAACTGTAGAGGTTCAGGCTCAAACAAATCAAACAGAAAGGCCCTTAAATAGTCTCCGTAGTATTAAGTATATCTAGCTAACCACTAAGTTGGGAGCATGTAGCAGAAGTAGCGGTGAAAAAAGGCAAATTATTTGCTTAAAAAATCTTCTTGTTGAAGTCTAATCAGTATTCCATGAAAAAGCAAGGAGCTGACTTCCTCCTAAATCGGTATTGTAAATGCTTGGCAAACATCGTAGAGGCGGTTAATATAAGCTCGCTAATTAAGAGCTGAGCCGAGAAGGTAAAAGGGTAGATCTCATTGATGTGTGGCACACGTAGCGGAATTGTGATTCTAAGGTGGTAAGTTAATTATTCAGATCGTTGGAACAAAAACGTTCAACAGCCTACATGCAGCAAGAAATTAAAACAAATTCATAATGAAAACGCCTCTACGGCCGAAAGAGGCTCTAATGCGAATACGCGCTCGTCGCTGCATTGTACGTATACACGTTTTGTTTTACGTTCCCATATCAGGCCGAGATTTAAACTAGGACATAATGTATTGATGAAATACTTAATAAGTTAACCTCAAACGTTCAATTTGTTGGCTTCAATTTAATTTATTCTGCAAGCTCTATAGCGTAGCTTCAATAGCTATTTAGTTAGCTAAAATATACGCATTCATTGCAATAAATATAATGCAAAAGTGATACAAAGGACCTGTTCCAGAAACCTGCAAAGACTCGATGTACATATAAAGCATATCAATAAAAACTCGTAATTAATAAGCATGATGAACCAGGCACTTGCCTTCTAATTTACTCTTGCTTGAATTTATCGAACTAATTTACCAGCACCACGTAAATTTTATTAAAAAATCCATGCTCGTACGTTTAAAATCACCCTACAGGGCTTGTATACACTGCCGCAACACATAAATGTTGTACCATAATTAAATACCCTTTCTAGTTCTACTGCATGCGGTGAGGGATGCAACGCCGCCCCACCACATACAACTCTATATTAAATAACATTGCTTATACCTATGTTACAATTTCACGCGTTCATAATTTTATTACTCGATCTGCAGAGCCACTAAGGCATTTTAAATTACCTGTTATGTATTACCTACAAGTGGATGCACGTTATAAACTTACAAATAGACTCAGTAATCAGCCGGGAGTATTGATATGTGCGATAATATCAATATAAATTGAAATAAATGTTGTAAGTAAAATATTGGCGATTTAGGAAATGTTCAAAATATGCACTAATATGAATTGGCAATTACTCTAAATGAGGTGAAGAATTTAGATGGGCAAAGCCCCCGAGCAATTGGGAACAGACAGAATTCGCTGCTTCCAATCACTCAAGCTGCCTCCCTTGTCTTCTGTAAGGTTGAGAAACCGCTGTTGAGCGTAACCATAAAATATTGGTATAAAAATCTGCATTAGATTGAAATTTGCCAACCTAGAATAATTGTAATTGTTGCCTTGAAAAAGTTGCGAAAAAACCAGTAACATGTCACCCAGAAGAAGCACCTACATCTTGTATCGTCGTCGTCAATTTCCCCACGTAAACCTCGGCTAGATAGAGACGAGTATGTTTTAGGGGAATTCAATTCAATTGTAATGCTAAAGCCCTAAATATGCTATATTTAGTAGAAATTACCATATAAACAGGCAAAACTATCAGAAGTTAAACAAAGGGAGCGAGCTTTAATGGCAGCAATATGGCTCATTCGTCGGGTGTGTGTTTTGTGTTTTATTCATATTATGCAAATTATCACTTAGCCAACACGATTTATTGGTGACAAATGATGTGTCGTTGAGTGAATAATGCAAATGATACTAATTAATTAACAACCGTCGGAGGACCAACCGTTCTGTCAGCATGTGCATGGGATAAACTCCATTTTATGGATCCAATCATGTTGGACAACCATTTGGGTGAAGACAAATATGACACTCGTGCTCGTGGATTTGAGTAACTGAACTGGTTGTGATGGTGATAAGTAAAGAGAGTTAAAAGCCAAGATTTGCAAAAATTTGTTGTGGCGACTTTATATCGGCTGAGCGAAAATATAAACTAATTCGTTCATGTGATTTAAATTAATGGATGCAAATAGACGACAAAATCCACCCATAATTAGAAATGTGTCGAAACATTGACTGGAAATCATTTGAAGTAATAAGTTGAACCCATCAGATGGACGGGATAATCCACTTCGGCGTGGACTTTGAGAATCTGTAGTTTTTCCGATAGTGTCAACGTGTAATTTACTGGCCCTTTTGATTGCTATTTATGGCACCGGACTTTTTCAATAAACTCCTACAAACATTTATGAATCATGTCATTTGATTTATGATTTACTATCGAACTTTTCTCATTTCGTTTCATTTGCAGTCAGTACCAATGGGACAAATATGCTTTTAATCAGTTTCTAGTCACAAACGCAACGCTTTCAAATGATTATTGCCAATTTTCTAGTTGGATTCATTGCAACTGAGTACATCTGATAAGGGGTTGAAATAACGTATTACAAACTGGAAAAAATCAAATTCTTTAAAAGAAGCTTAGTACAGACTAGGTATTTACCAGATTAGTTTTTCTGGTTGCTGCAGTCGAATGTTTTACAAATAAAAGCGAACAAACCAGCAGCGTCAGCTAGGTGTTTGTTTAATCCGGATAACTATTTTAGAGCAGTCGGAAAATCAAAGCAACAATGTATCCTCTATATTATTGCTTATAAAACGTGCCAGCGTTGTGCTAGGAAGTGGGCTTTAATAATTATTTTCCAGGTTGAATGTGGAACTAGTGAAATATTTCCTATTTCCGTTGCTGCGACAAGGGCTGAAGTCATTGTCTGAAAAATCTGCCCTGCAATACCGAATTTTTACTTTGTTACATGGCTCTAAACACGTTTACGGGCTTGTATAACCGCCATTATTTCTACTTTCAGAAATTAGAAGGAAATTCGCTAGTTTTAACAACGTCTTATTTACTGCTAGGAATATAATAATTGGATTTACAATGTTATTCTCGGGGCAATATTGTTTACTAGAATAACTAAGTATTTTAAACTTAAATCGTGTTTTATCCTTTAATTTATCAGAACGGTTGTGATGTGAGCCGAACAGTGAAATGTTCATGGTACTTTGAACACTAATTTCTACTGGAACCCATTTTTTGAATTCAAAGGAATCATCCAAAAATCGACATAAAGCAAAAAATAAATTAACTATTTCAGCAAGCGATTAAACTTTCTCAAAACGTACGAATTTTTCCATGATTTCCTGATCTACATTCTTGAAGTTTCGCCCCTTCAAGCTTATCCCGTCTATAAATGGTGCATATGATTAAATTTCCATAAATCCAGATGTCGAAGAAACGCTGCATATGTGCTGTTACTTTGCTATTCCGACTATTATTTAATTTTGAATTAAAAAGTTCCGCGGTTTTCTTAGTGTAGATAAGAAACGTGGTAAAGTTAATGTAAAAGTTTGTTTCGTTTCGATTCAACAAAAGAAAGAATCTCACCTCCGAACGGCATGCTGTAATAATAAAATCGAGCTTTAAGGAAAATGACTTACCATTACACTGAAGTAATAGCAAAATATAGACCAGATGAGGGTAAATGGAAATACTGCTAAAAGTTTGTGGCATATGCATGATTGCCCGGTTCAATCCACTTCAGCTATTTGGAATGTGACTCCCATGGCCCTGCAAAAGACAGAACAAATCGACTGTATTATTAGATAGTATCTTTAGGACAGAGTATAGGTATTTCTTTACATTAAACTGAGTTATGAATTTCTAAGCTTAGTAAATAACCACTTTATCCATCCATACACGTAAATACATATTTTTGAAAAGCAAACTTTAGGCAATATTTATTGATTACCAATTGAGAGTATTTCATTTGTAAGTTATCAAGTAATCCCTGCCTCACCTGCTCACCGCGCCAAATTGGGCATAATTAGATAAATTTAATTAATCAAAAACTCAATGAAAGTCAACATTATTACCAAATCGTTTTTACCCATCAGCAATTATTGGAAATTAAAGCACCCAGACTTCCGCAACTAAAATAATTTTAATACGAGAAAATACGTTCAGCTCAGTAAATGATCCTAACATTGCTAAAACATCATTTCTGGAAGCCAATTAAAATTGTTACGGGGTGCAAGAAGTTTTTAGCATGCGTCATTTCGGTTTAACTGAAGGCTTAGGAATTTCAATTAGAATTTGTCAGTTCCTGAAACGAATGAAAGAGATGAGAATGGGGTAAAAAAACTGCCGTGACAAAGGAGAGTCCTGAGCATCATTAAAATTGGTAACCCGTATTTGATTTTATTAAGAAAATTCCGAATTTTTATCTGACTGAAAATGTTTGTCGGCTGTGGCAAACTACGTCGGATAATTCGATAAACATAAAAACTCAAACAATACATTTTCCATCAATTACAAATCTCCAGTAGCGCAAAGGAAGAGTCTTAGCAGCAGCAGCTTTTAAGTTAAACGAATAAATATTTGGGAACCGAATTATCAAGGTTTTCATTTTTCATCCCCTGTCGGGTTAGTTATGTCATCCCATTTTCCGTCTTAAAATTTAGAATAACAGTAGGGTTATTTCCAAGAGTGTAGGAGAGGAAAAATCTATTTTTTAATTAAAAAAGAGTGCCGCATTAACTTAAAATAATTTATCTCTTCCAAGTGTCGGCATTTCTTCTTCTCACTTGATTGTTCACTAGTGTTTAATTTAAAGGCTTGGGGAGACGGTTGCCAAATATTAACGTTAAACTGGAAACTCATCTATTAAATTATTAATTGAATAATTTAATCCTGCTATACTTTTGACGATTGAAGCTCTACCTATACACAGAAGGCAAAATGTGTTTAAACGCTTCTCAAACTCAAAGTTCTTAGATTTATGGACCTATTAGTTCTCATCTACTTTTGATTTTGAATTCATGCAAAATATATAGATGCGGCGATTCACTAACTGCTTAGTTGCCAGTAATAACCAACTAAATTTTAACCCTGTGTAGAAAGATGGAATTCGATTAAAAGATAAGATCAAATAAAATATCTCGCCATTTAAAGGAGTCAGATCCCTAAAGGCTTGACGAGGAAGAGCTTTAATTTTCTGCAGAACATGAATGAGGACATAACTTACCAGAACCCTAATTTACATCTTTAGACAATAACTCAAATTGTCGAGAAAAAATGCTGTATTTTGCAGTTTAGAATTTGAGGAGTCGTTTTTTTTTGCTTTAAGCTTTCAAGATCAACCAAGTCCACCTCTTAGAAGTGCTCAACAAAATGGATATTTCAGAGTTTTGTATAACATTCCTTCCCCTAACTTAAACCTTATCCATCTTAGCCCTTTTATGAATAAAAGCTTTTAATTCCATTTCGAAAATAGAAAGTTTCTTAAAGCCGCACATAATTTTAATGTCATTAATTTTAGCCTTGCCTGGACCTCTTGACATTCATTAATCCACTTACTTTATTAGTCTTTTGCAAATAGAAATATAAACAGTACATTTTTGGGTTTTGCCCTTTTAGCGGTGACATGCTAAACATTTGCAGGTATTATTTTTTATAACATCAATAATTATACGGTTAACTCAACCCGTTTGCTCGAGAATCGTTATTATAAACAATTTTCAACAAAGTCTGATTTAAATTAATTGAAGACTCAGACGAATATCAGAGAAAACGACAGGATTGTGTTAACATATGTGACAGATATTCAAAATGAGCAACACTATTATACTATTGCAGTTATTTTAATTAAAAAGGAGTGTTTTGATCGTTTTTCAGGTTAGTCCGCTTTATTTGTCGGCTTATTTAAAACTGAAATCCAGCTTTTCACTCCTCAATAATCATTTTCGGATGAATAACAGATATGTTAAAGCTTTTGCATTAATGCGAACTCTCGCAGCATACGTAACATATTTAACAGGTTAGTGAATACTGAATTGAGATTAAAAGTGGTAAAATAAATACAGTTTTAAAACGAGCATTTTGCAACGTCGTGACTATTTTCATTCTCATAAAAATGAGGTTTATATTATCCATTTGCGGAGAACAATCAAACAATCAAACAATCAGGCTCGGATTTTCAAGTGAGCTAAAAAAAACTGCGCCAATGGCAGAAACATTCTTCCACACGTTGTAATGTGTTTCAAATACGTGCCGCAGGAAATGTATTTGCAGACAGAAGTTGGAATCTTCCGTTAACACGAAAAGGAAATGTTCAAACATCCAAAGATTGGTGGCGGCTATTTTATCCTAAAAAGTAGCTTTTGAAAAGTTTGACCAGTAGTCTGTGTCAAGATTTCATTTATTCTATGCGTACGGTTTATTTAAACATTGATTTGCTTATTTAATTATTGTTTGAGTAGACTTTATAAAGTATTTAAATTCGGTTTAATATGGATAAGAGTTCATTAAGAATCGCCAGAGAGTAAGCAAGATTATCTCGGTTGGAAATGTAGAAAAATTATAACATGCTAAATGGAAATTTTCGCTGTTTAAAACGCATTTAATGTTAAATCCTGCATGTGCATAAACATGGAAAAAAGCTGGAATAATTTAAAAATATTGAGAAACGTAATCATATCTAAATGCAGCGAGTAAAGCTCGATGTAATATATCTTAGCCTTGCCATAGCTCTGTAAACGTTAAGTTGAAAGCTGTAAAGATAGTGGCGGCACAACACGCAAATTTAAAATTAATGTTGTCTACTGATTAAAGCGCGCTGCGAATTAATCGTTTCCAACTATTTTAATTGATTTTCAGGAGCATATCTATTCAACAGTCGCATTTTTCGTTTTCTTATTGAAAAATGATCAAGCTTTTTTTGTCTCGATAACCAACTAAATTAATTATTTTCTGTAAATGAGAAGTAAGCAGAAATGCCGATAGCAATGTGGTTGGTATATTCACTTTACAGCGAATCAACCACTAATGCCCGGGTGTTGCTTTTTAATGATAGTATTGAATTAATGTTTAAAATGCATCTTGATAAAAGGCATTGACGAACGAAGTAGTTAAAATTTTAACATACATATCGATGTCTCCAAGTACCAGAACAATAAGCTTAAAGGCAGATAGTTTGCTTTGCTTGTTGCTCTTCAATCAGTGTCGTTCACAAGTTCGACTTTCGGCAAATCAATGTATTATTTGTGCCAAACCCTTCGGGTAGGACCCTGATGTAATGGTAAGAAAACGTTCTGGTTTGTCTGAATAGCGTTTTATTGCTCTTCTACCGGAGATTTTGGAATGATTATGATAGTAAACCCTCATTTAGAGCAATTAAAAAAAAATAGTTGCTAATGTATCAATAATACCTACATTTGTAAACACGAATTTCACATTAAAAAGAACCCAAACAAATCTAAAATAACCCAAGAAAACCTAAAAAACTCGAATTGAACACACTCAGGCGAACGGAATTTAAGCCTCATCTAAACTATACCAGCTGAACCCAAATTAACACAAGCAAATCCAAGTTAACTGATGTGAACTCAAGAAAACCCAAACATGGTTTGTATGCATCTCTATTATGCATTTAACTAATTAGTCAAGGAAAATTGAAATTGAAAAATTGTGGAAAGTAGTCCACGTTCTAGGGAACTACTTTCCTAAAAAGTTAATTGCGTGGCGATGAGATCAAAGTGCCTCTGGTAAGTGAAATTGCTTTCTAAAACAATTATTCTTGCGGCCATGTGATTGTTAATTCCCATGCAAAATGCGATTTGCTGAAGTAAATTGAATGCTTTCTTGGAGTTCTCTAAATTCGGTACATTTGTCTATTCTACATGTGCAGTTTTAATTGTCCAAACAACTGCGAAGTATTCTGGTACATTTTTTCATATGAAAACGACCAGTTGTATCAATTTTTAATTAACTGCCCTGCAAGCCAGGTTTTTAGTAATTGGCAAGGTTTGACTGGTGCATCCAAGTGTGTAATTTTGGGAGCTAGAAGTTCATAGCACATTTCCGTTTAATTCTGAACATATACTGATTTTTTCAAAGTTTCACAGGATCATAAGCAAAATGGGCTCTTGACATATAGTGCAAGAATCTTGAATATTTATCTACAGTTTAATAGGCGTCGAAATAAGTGACAACCAGACCAACCGCACTCATCTCGGTTTAATTAACTTTGGAAATATCGATTTCAAAAAAATAAATTAGTTCGTGGACGCGTTGAGTATACTTAATTAAAATTAGCTCGCACTCAGTCCGGTAAAGCTGAAAGGCCGCCATTAAAAAAAATTAGTATTTCAGAAAAGCTGCGAGAGTTCAGAATATTGCATGGCAGATAAAAGGATCCCGCCTGTCACTCAAGACAGTGTCAGAGTGTTCCATTACAATACTTTCTCAATTTCCGTACAGAAGCTGATGTGACATTCCATCAGGCTGCCGCCACAAAGTAAATTAACAAAGCAACGTTCTTTAGTAGTATATATACTAGCATCTTTTAACCAGAAGCTGCATTTTTCGGTTACGGTTGTCATAAGGAGCACAGCTCTAAGCGACCTTTCTAACCGACAAACTGTGCAGGGACTTTTAATTAAATAGAACCAGTTTTGTTTTTTCTTCGTTTCCAATTCTGTTATTAACACTTGGAAGTTTTCGGTCACGTTTCACACCTATAAGTGGAATATGCACATTCCGAGTTTGCGAGTTATCCTGGATATGTGCAT